CCCCCCGCGCCAAACTCACCACCATCTTCTGCATGTGCAACGTTCGCAGCCGGACAGAAACCTCTCCCCGGCGATGGAGACTGCGGGAAAAATCCGCCGCGGCGGGATGGCTTGCTGAGGAGAGAGCCAGAGCGCGAGCGGGAGAGGAGAGCCAGCACATACTAAATCAAAACCACAATAAAAAAAAAAAAAAAAAAAAGGGAAAATAAGGAGGAAACCTCTCCTTTTTTTTTTTCTCTCCCCTTCCTTTCTTTTTCTTTTTTTTTTTTCTCTTTTTTTTTTTTCTTTTTTTTCCTCCCGATTTTGTGTGTAGCCTCCTCGCTCTCGATGCCTCTCTGAGCAGCATCCAGCGAGCGAGCGGGAGAAGGCGAGACAGAGAGGCAGAAGAGAAGATGAGGATAATTTGCAGACAGCTTGTCTTGTTGTTTTCTGGCTTTTGGGGACTAGCAATGGGAGCTTTTCCTAGCAGCGTGCAAATAGGTAAGCGCTGCATTGGGCTGCGTGCGTGTGTCCAGGGGTTCAATCCTTGCGAAGTGAGTTGGAAAGGATGCTCTGAAAGCAGTTCGCGGATTTCTCCCCCAGCACCATCCCATTTCCATGCCTTCACGAACCATCCGCGTGTGTTTGTGTATACGTGCCTCGGTGTGTGTGTAAATACATCTGTGTGCGTTTGCGTGCGGGAGGGAGGATGCTTGTCTTTTGCAGAACTCGTTCCTGCTCCGGGTGTGCGATGTCGGCAGGGGATGAAGGGGCTCGGGGCTGATGCCCCTTGGCTGCTTTAGCCCCTTCTGACTTCCCCTGCTTTTGCGTGATTCCCGGAGGGTTGGCGAGTCCTGTGCGCCGGAGGTTGCGGTAGCCGGCAGGGATGGGGGCTAAAAGGCAACGCTGTCCTTCGTTCCATTCTGTAGTTCGAAAGTTTAGGATTTTGTAGGTGTCTCCCTGTGGTCCTGTGCCCCATCCTCACCCCTTTCCGATTGTCTCCTGCTTCCCTCCTTTCGGACGTGTTTCAGATGGGACGCAGCTATCTGAATTCTTTCCAGCTCAGCTCCCCATCACTGCATCATTTCTCGTGGACTTGTAAAGATGCTGCTAATAAGGCTGAGCTGCTCCCTGCCTGCACATGGCTGCAGAGGAGCAAAGTTCATTATATTCATCCTCAGTGCAGATTATCCTATACTGAGTTGGTATTTTCTAGGGGATTTTTAATCCAGAAAGAATCATTCCCCTTAATCAGCCTGCCACTTAGTGTAAGAGGTTGTTGAGCAGCTGATTTACCAGTGTGTTCAGTATCAGGGAGATGGAGGCTAAACACTTTAAAAAGGTCACTGTAATCATGACAATTTTGGGTATTTATGTATGAAAGGCTGGAAACCAAGAAGTCAGAAAAGAAGCATGAATGCATCAGGGAGGTTAAAATCAATTGGGGACAGTGATTTAAAGGCAGTGGTTGTGATTACAAATACGATTAGTTCCTTATCCATTAAAGTCTTAGGACTTGCCTTACTGTGCAGCTTTGGGAGAGACAGTTGCTTGGTCTTACAAGATAGTCAGTAGATTGCAAATGATTTACTCTGCATCCTTTGCTTTTTTCTTTTTTTCCTGTTTTTGTTTTTTTGTAGGTGGTCTCTTCATCAGGAACACAGATCAGGAATATACTGCTTTTCGATTAGCAATCTTTCTTCATAACACCAGCCCCAATGCATCCGAAGCACCTTTTAATTTGGTTCCTCATGTAGACAACATTGAAACAGCTAACAGCTTCGCTGTAACAAATGCCTGTAAGTAAACATGCCACTGATCTGACCACCTTGGTAAATTGCAGTGGAAAGAACAGGAAACCACATCATTGTCTTGCATTGCAAATCCATCACTAAGTCTGTCTTCGGTACAGACACCCTTTGCAGAAGAGCAAAAGGGGCAGCAGTCCTTGTTAGTTCCTAACTGGAGCAAAATCCCCGCTCCTGCCTTCTGCTGAATAACCTGATGTGACATTTACTTTAGTGTTATTACTGTAGTTTCTTGCTTCCTGGTTTCTATGGAGATGAATTTTGTTGTTGTAAAGAAAAATTATGAATGTCTCAATCAGTCCATAAACGCCGCAGTTACTCATGTTTGCTTTTGTGTATGATGTGACTTGCATGTATTTGAAGATATACAATAATATTTGTGCTCACAAATGCTTTTCTAATGGCTGGAAAGGAGACAGGGAAGCAGTGGTGTGCAGGATAATATATCTGAGTTGGTTGACGCTGCAGTTGATCTGGTGATGTCACTTGAGGCAGCCCTGCTCTTATATTCTAGGTTGTAAATGTCTCTTACCATTTCGTAATGCATACATCCTGTGGATATGTCTCTATGCATCCATACATTGGTGCCAAATCAAGTTAGTATCTGATCTACTTGATTTCACAGACCACCTCAACTGGAACGAATATCCTCTCCCTACTATATATTTTATAAACACACACACACACACGCATACACACAGATTCACATACACCACAAGAGGAAAACAGAACAAGAAATACTCTTACCAAATGAGGTAACATTTAATTATTTTTTTTAAAACAAAGTATAATTAGCTGAACTTTCTACATTTCGGTCGCCTCAGGGTCTTTATCAGTGGTTAAAACATGTGCTGGATACTGCTTAATCTCTGAGAGTGGCAAAGCATTATTTCTATTTATCTTTGTGTATGTCTGGCTTCTTAAAAGGAATTCATGTTATTATGTAAGACAGTGGTATACAGTGTGGCAAAGCTGAAGACTGTAGTAGTGTTACTACTTTGATGTTCGTATTTCAAGACTCTATAGGTTTTCCTCTGTGGCTCTTAAGTTTTCAAATCCCTCCTCTTCATTCAAGAGTGAATTGCCTCTGGAAGTAGATGCCCTAAGCAACATTGCTGAGCGAGTTTAAAATAGAAACATACTGGAGAAGGTCTTAGTGTTCATCATGCCTTTAAAATACATGCTATGTTTCTCTTCAGTTTCTCACTGCCATCTCTGTGGCACTTTTTAATATGTAAACATACAATGTGCTGTGCAGTTCTCCCGTATAATTTCTTGCACAATTGCTGTATTTATTTATATGAGTCTTTGATACTCCAAGTTTCAGATGACCTTGCCACCTTATTTAAGAGGAAAAGCTGCTGAGCTGCCAAAATGGCTCCATTCTTTTTATGCAGGAAAGACTGATGTCCCATAAAGTGTGAATTTTATATTAAGCAATGTATTAGTTGTGTTTAGCGTGAAAATCAATATCAAGTTCCGTAAGGTGAAAACATTTCAAAAGGTGCTTTGAAACTGGAAGGAATCAGATCTATGCAAGTGTAGTTCATTGAGAAAATATTACAATGCATGTCAACTTTTGCAGGCACTGATTATATATTCTGTGAAGATAAATGACACAGTAGTTTTTGTAAACTTTCATTTTTAGCGAAAGAGGAGGGGACTAAAATTTTTGTATATTAAAATCAGCAATTTTAGGCGAAGTCAATTATTTTAGATTCTGCCTACGCATCTAGTTCTGCCAAATAATTTATGAGGCTATTGTTACTTTTTGGATTAAGGGTATTGCTCAGTATTTCTATTCAAATGTTAATGAATTAATTCTGATTTGCATAAATTTAAAATTGTCTAAAATTGAACCACTCCTCTGTATAAGACTAACACCATAGATTCAAAAAAGAGTTTGCCCAAAACTTTCCTCTTTTAGACCATTTGCAGCAAATTCTTTTCTCTCATTCCAACCGCCTTAGGTTATGTTTACCTTATGCTGTTTTAGCTGAGGAAAACCTGCCCAGTTATGTTTGTTGTAATTTATAGAATTAGTGACTCATAACCCGATACATTTGTTGTTTGTTTTAACTGAACCCAGTTTCAGTTCCAAAGAGTTTAATGGATTTAGAACTGATGAATCCTTACGTTATGAGGGTAGACAGAGAAGGAAGAGAAAAGTAAACATATGTGCTTATGTGTGTATATACTCATATAATTCTGTACATGTCTGTATGAAGTGGATCCTACAGGCCTTATTTATGTTTGTACTTGCCACTTAAACCCACATGTATTTTTGCATTAGTTCAAGTTTACATTTATTTCACATTTTGCAGTCTTGTGACAATAATCTGAGTACTTCTTCTTTTAAAAAGCATTTTAATACCGAAGAATGTTTTTTAAATAACAAATCTTCTCCTAATGAAATGTAGGCAAACTGACTGACAACTGAATGAACATATCTCATGTTCCTTAAGCTAAATATGAGCAGAATCCTGCAGAAATCAATTGTCTGATAGCTGGAGGACACTGGCTTCCATGTGATTGAATTTACTGGCTTGACAGAGGCTTCTAAAGCGCAGATGTGTGAGATTTTCTAACCTAATTAAAGAACCCCCACCATCAGCTCTGAATTAAGTCATTTCATGGCAACATGAAATGATAACTGCTGAACTGCTGTGAAACAGTGGCTTTGGATCTTGCTATTTGTGTAGAAATTACTCAGTGCACATGTCCCAAAATATACAGTACAAAAGCCTTAGAGCTGCTGGACTGAGATGAATATTCATGTGAGTTCAAGCATAAAGCTCTGAGACATGACCAGTTACCTCTATTTCTGTTTTCATTTGCTGCAGAGGTTACTTAGAAGATTCAGGGCCTGGCCCCTTGCATGTGCTAGGGACCTCAGACAGATTATTCCAAAGGATTATGGATAGCATACTAGTGGATAGCTGCAACATTGGAAAAACTCTAATTTTTTTTTTTCTTTTCACTAGATAAAAGCCATATATACAAATGTTCACCCAGGAGTACTTTTGGAACTGGAATAATTTGGTATATTCAGTTTAATAGCTAATTTCTAGTAGTTATTTTATGCATTTTTGTTTTCCTTAAACAGGCCCAGAACATTAGTAGTTATATTCTAAATTATGAATGCACACGAAACAGGTTGCTTTAGCAGATAGAATCTGTTATAAGTTAGCAAAACTGATCTGATCTATATCAGCCTGGAGATAGACTTCTTTCTTTCTTTTGCACTACATATATTATTCAGAGAATCTCTCTTACTGACAGAGAGAGCTGAAATTATTGCAAAACATGAATAGTACAAGATTCTTACTCATCAGAGCACAATACACCAGAGCTGAAACATTTGTCTATTGGCACACATCGGTTTGCACCTTCTAAGCAGGAAATTCTGCTCGTGATTAGAAATGTACTTACCTTCAGCTTCTTTTCAGATGTTGGAGCAATGCATTGATTTTTCGAGAGGATTGTATATATTTATTCTTTCGCTGAATGGAAAATAATTTTCTCCCCTCCACACACCATCTCTATAGTGTATTAGTATATCTCAGCAATGCAGTCAACATTAAATGTGCTTGAATACTTATGAGAGGTAGCACCATAATTTTACAAAGAACTGTTTGCCTTCCAGCTCTCTTGTGGCTGAGAATTTTTCTGTGGAAGTTTCAGAAATCCGAAATATATAACCAATCAGCAGTTCTTGTACAGAATTAGGTTAAATGGGCAAGTAAAGGGACCAATCCAAGTCTTTCATTAGCGTTTCATACTAAAAGTATGATGAATATGTTTGACTTCATTTATATTCTGAGATTAATCTATACCTAATAAATGTAATTTGGGGGAAATCAGACAGTCCTTTCCTCTTTTGCACAGTTCAGTTCTTACTAGATTTTAATCCCAGTAGATACACCCCCCTTCCCCTCCCAAATATAACTTTGTTTATTATGTGCCACATGGCTTAGAAGATGAAAAGCCCACTGGAATTAAAATTTTTGTATCTTGGAATAATAGCTTTCCTCTTTTTCCAAGAGTTAGTCTCTTTGACTCTTGTGCCCTCCAGCCTTATGTGGGGTTGATGACTGAAATTGGAGGGCCTGATTCTGCCTCACCAGTGGGCATGCAGTTTCTGGGGGAGACCCACTGAGGTTAGAGTCAGCCCTGAGGACAGGTGGGAGCCTCCCTTGTCACCCTTCCCTCTCTGTGGGTCTGTCTCTGGGCTTGTGCGTGGTAGTGAGGGGGAATGCAGTGTCATTTTGAAGTTAACTTTCTGCTGAGACCTCCAGAAACCTGAGGAAATAGACACAAATGTAGTATTGCCCTTATATTGTGACTATCTGTCATTTTACTTACAGCAGTTTCAGCTTTGATTTATTAAGCTGCATCATAATGGGATTTTCATTAAATTTATTATTAATTCTACTTTATAATTACAACTCAATTTAGCAATAGAAGCGTAACCTTAGTTGAATAATCAGTGTCATTTAAAACCATGGGGTTTTTTATTTAGAAAGTGAGGTTTCATACAGCTGAATGGTATTTTGCTATCAAGAGCGGTGCGGTATTCCCAAGGATGCAGTTTGGAGTATATTGAAAGTTACCATAAAGGCACACCATACAGTCAGGTTTGAATTGCAAAAGCAAATAGTGTGCCAGTTGGCTAGAAAAATGGAACTGGATTAAATTGTACCTTTCTGTAATAGGATCGATTACAAAAATCCACTTCAAGTGAGTGTTTTGCTTCAATACATGGAATTTATCTCAAGCTAGACTCCAATTATTGAAAACAATTTCTCTTAAAATTTCTCTTAATAGCCCTTGCTGATGGAATCAAAGAATGTATGTGTACTTGGGTATCATCTGCCATAAGAAGGATTCTGTATATTCTTAACATATAAGGAGATCCATATTCAGTTTCATAGCTCTAAATGTGATACTTGTAAATACCCATATGACATCGAGAAGATCAACTATCAATA